TAAATTTATTTTTATAAATAAGGTTTAGAAACTTTGTTAATGGAACAAAGAAAAGTTAATTAAAAAATGTACAGTGTTGTCAGGATCAAGTTCAAGTAGTTTACCTAGGCACAGTAATATATATATATAAAATGTAACTTTGAAAAAAAGAACCAATTGTCAAACAAACAAAAAACAAAGAAGTTAAGTTATCTCTTAATTGAACAACATGGCACTACTATAAATATGCACCCTGGGGTGACAAAATAACTACTAAGCTGTAAAGCAGTCTTTGGTGAATGATGCGACTTCTTTGTTTCATACAGTATATATATATATATATATATATATATATATATATTACTGTGCCTAGGTAAACTACTTGAACTTGATCCTGACAACACTGTACATTTTTTAATTAACTTTTCTTTGTTCCATTAACAAAGTTTCTAAACCTTATTTATAAAAATAAATTTACTGGAACAGTGGGTTTCCCCATTGCCTTCACTATTAATTGTTAAAGTTATGTAAATTATATAATTTTTTGTTAATCTTATAAAGTTTTAAGCATATACATTTATGTATCTGCCCTGATTTATTTAACATGTATTGTTATTATTGTCTAATAATGTGTCCAACTAGATCTTGCAGAGAGTGACTTGAGTTATACACATGGACTTATGAAATATGGAGAGCTGTCATACAAAGACCAGGAGATTTTAATTCTTGGTGGTGGTGATGGTGGCCTTCTTCATGAACTACTGAAAGAAAAGCCAAAATTTATCACTATGGTTGATATATCCTTTTTCAGATGTGAAAGCACATTATTTGGCAATAGAATTAGTAAATATAAAGGGTTGAATACTTTCAGAAGGTATTACTGTGTTGTATTCAGGTTGTATGAATGAGAGAGCCTCAACAGTGGTATTATCAGTAGAAAATCTTATTAACTTTTATTTTTCTTTACATTTGATGTTTTTCAATAGCACTGTATGTTTAGAAAGTTGTTTACATATAGAAACTTAGCTTTAATAAAGCTAGTTTCTACTTGTGATGTTCATAGACTCTTGAAAAAGGCATAAGCCAGAACGATGGGTGGAATAAATAAACAAGTTGTTTGTCTTTCTCATTGGAAATATTATTAAAATATATATTGCCAAGCTGTTACAAATAAATAATTGATAAAATAAAGGCAAGGCTTGATCTATGCATTTAAGAAAGCTCATATCACTGTGTCCTCATAAATGTTTAGCATTTACTACACACCATATAAATGTTAGTTATCTCTTTAGAATAGATTTCTGATTATCATCTGAAGCTGCATATATGAGGTTTTCCATCATAGTGATATCACTTCAAAACTTTTAATACTTTTTCATGAATGGAAGGGGAAAATATCTAGTTGCCATTTAAAAAATCAAAACCCCTCTACTTACTTGTCTTGAGTTATTTGCTAAGAGATTTGACCTTATTACAGTTTTAAAGGATACGTGTAAGTACTGTGAATCTGAAGTTTCATTGTTTACACTCCTTGGCACAAAAAAACTTCAGTCTTTGGGGCCATGGGTGCATTAAATGAATAATGGTCAAATCCCACTCTTTGATCAGATAGGAGTAGTCCAAGAGTTAGCAGTGGCTGCTGTCTCTGAAGATATCATTCCAATGTTAAGGATGGCTATGTGCAGATAGACTTTATTTAGCTCTACACTAAAATCTACAACAAATAATATTAGTTAGTTGATAAGTTTTAACATATTTTTAAGTTTCTGTTTATTTCCTTAACATTAAACACATTGACCAGCTGGTGGTAGATGCTTGCCGAGAACATCTTCGAGGTGCTTGTTTTGATTCCTTGGATAAGTTAAAGGGTGACAACTATGAGGTAAGAATTGTGGAATCTCTAACATTTGTCAGAGAAAAACTTAGATTATTCCCAGCTAAATAGAATTGTATGATTCTACAACTATATTTTTTCAATTTTTTTTTATGGTTAAGAGGAAAGTTTTCTTCTTTTGATATTGGTAGTATTATTTGAGTTTATATTTGGGATTATAAGGTTGATATGTTTGAAAGGAATTTTATGAATAGTATTTTGACTGTGACATTGTGTGTTGCATTCTCAGCCAAAATGGTGAGCTCTGGTATAATTGGTGACCCTAGAACACTAGTAGGAACAGAGGAAGTTTTTATAATGAGGATAATTGAAACCTGGTTAAATGTAGACAGTTTTGATTCCAGGAATTTCTTTGAAGCAAGGTTATAGGCTATTTAATAGGGATAGGGTACTGAAAAGAAGGGAAGGAGTGGCTTTATGTGTAAAATCTGAGTTACAACTTGTTCATGTCTATCAAACTAACAGCAATGAAGTTTAATGTGTTTGGGTCTCTGTTTATGGTTATAAGGGAAAAAAGGCTTTTAGTGGGAATTTGTCACAAACCATCAAATGAAACTGATGAAATTAACGACAGACTCATCAGTGTGATAAAGAATTCAAATAGTAGTCATGGGTGAGAGGTATTTTAATTTCAGGCATATAGATTGGGAAACGTTGAAATCGAATAATGGGGGAAGACAGGTTTTTTGAAATTGTTCAGAAAGATTTTTTTCACCAATCGATCCTACCAGATCATGTAATTTATGGGGAGTGCAACATTGGCATCTGCTGTTTTGGACATCAAGCTGTCTAGTGTTTTGTGGCTATGGTAGTTATAAAGCTGGATGAATATGGTCTGAATTTTGAAAACTATGATAAAATGGCTTATGAAAATAATTTGGGATAACTTTATATGGATTATTCTGTTGCTTTTGATCCCTATATTATTTCACAGGTGGTTTGAACGTTTGTTCATGCTGATAACTTGTCTTATCATGATGCAAAATCAAGATATGATCAGCTTCCATATATTGTGATATTTAAGTGTATCTTGTTAAATCCACCAGAAGATTAACCCATGAAACTATGAAATGCTATACAAACATGGATGGTTATATATTCTTCTTAGTAAGCTGGGTGTCAGACATGAAAGTAAAAGAGATTGTGTCCTTGTAATTTCTAAGGTGAGTTTTGTTTTTTGTAGTGTGTACTTTCTTTTTTTTTATCTCCCATAGCTGCTACTAGGAGCATAAAACATGTTGTCACCAGTATCGGGTGTTAGAAGTATTTATTCATTGTATTGTTACCTGTATGCCTCTTGGTCTGTGACATGGTGGTGCCTGACTGTCTCAGGCCTAACTTAATAACAGTACCTATTACATGCATTACTCATTAGTACCTATAGAAATTATATGGGGCCTTATCAAATATCAGTAATATCAATAATTAATAGATAGTATGATGCTAAAACATTATTTAGATTTATACAATATTAATTTGCAAATTTATTCTGATACCCTTCACAAATTGTGCATTGCAGTTATAAGAATACCTTGAAGGTTGCTAGCTTTGTCTCATAACTACAGCAACCATATTGATTTTCTTTTTGGGTCAGCTGGGAATCTGTAAAATGATACACCCGGTTCTGAATCCTGTCTATTGGTGTAGCCAAAAGCCCAACAAAGTTATAAAGTTATTTTCAAGTTCCTTTTCACTGCCTTGAATATGCACACACTGCTGTTCAATATGACAGACACTAGGAGAAAATCGTAAGATCACGGTGACATGAAACCATTCTGGAAAGGTCTATGGTCAGGAACAGTGCTATTTTAGAATTATTGTTAATTTCTAATATAGAAATAGTTGATATGGCAGAGATTAGGGAACATTTGAGTGCAAGTAATCATTGATCAGTTGGATATGATGTTTAGGTGCATGATTAAAGAATAATGAGATTTTGGTTCTACATTTCATTAAAAGCAAATTTTGGAGGTATATCACAAAAATTATTGTTGTGAACTGGGCAACTGAATTAATTGAAGATTTAAAAAAATGTGTAAAACTTAATGACAAATTTTAAAAATTTAATATAGGCATGTTCCTCACAGAAGAAAAAGGGTAACTGTAAGTAAAAAAACAGGTTGGTGCACAAAGGTATAAGGGATAAAATTAAAAAATCAATATAAATTTATGAAATTTAGATTAACTGTTATGATGGGAGAGTTAGAGTTGGTCAAATGGGAGAATTGAAAATGGAAAAAAAAATTATGAAGAAAGGTTGGGTGAAAATGCAAAATTGAGAATTTCTTTAAATATAGTAAAGAGTAAGCAAAATGTTAGGATGAGGGTAAGGCCTTTGAGGTAAAGGTTCATATCTGATGATTGAGATGACAGGGCTATTATGTTTTCTTCAATTTTAACTAATGAATATTTAAGCAATATTCCTCATCCTGAACAATTGCTAGATGGAAACAACATCAAACAAGGTTATGAACTTGTTAAGAAAATATGGAGAAGTTTAAAGAATGGTAAAGCTCCTGGCCAGATAAAATTTTCAAAGGGGTTTTGAAGGAGGATAAAGATTTGATATGTTGAGTCAGTTGCTACTGTTTTTTTTGTAAATTCTCAAATACTGGGAAGATGTCAAAAGATTGGAAGCTGTCTAATGTTACTCTTTTTTTTTTCAAGGGAAGTGATGGAAAAAATTGTCCCAGTAATTATAGGCCTATTAGTTGTACATCAATGGTGAGAAAGTTTTTGAAAGCTTCATAAAAGTCATTTAAGTTAGTTAACGTGGTTTCACATGGGAAAAATCTTGCCTTACTAATCTTATGACATTTTTTGAAGAAGTTACTGCTTTTGTAGATGAGTGTAAAGGTGCGGATTTGGTATATCGGACTTTCATAAAGCATTTGACAAGGTGCCATATAAAAAGTTTGTTAAAAATGTTATTTCTATATCTGTGAGGTACAGGATGACTCATTGGATAGAAATCTGATTGGGAGGAAGAAAGCAGAAAGTTGTTATAAATGGAGCTTAATCAAACTGGATTAATGTTGCAAGTGAGGTACATCAGGGGTCAGTGTTAGGATATATATACTCTTTTTAATTTACATCAATCAAAAAATGAAGGAATGATCATTTGATTATTTAAATTTGCTGATAATATTAAGGTTTTGGGTGTTGCTAGTTATGAAGAGGATACTGTTGCTTTATAAAAAAATTTGGATTATTTGGTGAGTTGGGTGGATAAATGGCAAATGGCTTTTATTTATAATAAATGCAATGTAATGCATGTGGGATATCAAAATTTGAATTATGAGTACAATTTTGATGGGAATAACCTTTAACAGTGTTGTGAAAGAAAAGGATCTTGGTGTTCTAGTTTATCAGTTTCTTAAGCCACCCAAACAGTGTGCTGTTGCTAGTGACAGGGCAATTAGGAGTTTATTTTGTATCTACATAAATATTGAACAAGTCTAAAAAGGCTGTATTTCATTATATATGTCACAGGTTAGGTGGCATTTGGAGTATAGTGTTCAATTTTGAGTGCCTTACCTTAGGAAGGACATTGTTGGAGAGGGTTCAGAAGAGGACAACTATGTATACCTGCCTTGGAAAGGTTGTCTTGTGAGGATAGGTTAAGATCTCTGAAATTATTTTCTCTTGAAAATAAAAGAGTTAGAGGGGATCTGATTCAGATTGTTATGATAGTATTGATGTACCATCTTTTTTGTATTTCATGGTGAAAATGGTAAGAATAAGTGACACAATTACAAATCTTTACAATCTTTACGGCTTTATTTTTATTTAAACAGGATGGTTGGCCTTTGGAATGGGTTGCACCTAGATGTGATGGATGTAATTGATTTAACCCTATGCTTATGGATACCCTTTTCTGAGCATGGCATAAGGTTATACTGAGCTACATTGAAAATTTAATTAACCCTACGATGACTGGTGTCATTTTTAATTTTTTTTTTGCATATGGTACTGCATTGCATTCAAAATTTAATTAAACCACTTTACCATCAATAAATGTCAATGAAAGTAACATAAGGTATGTTGTAATTTGAATTTTTATGTTATCTAAGTTTTAATTCCTCTGTTTCAAAGGAAACCTTTGAAAAAAGATTTAAACTGCAGCTTCATGTTACATGATCCATGCGCTTTAAAGAAATCTCAACTTTAGCAGCCACATGAGCTGGCAATGTACAGTTTGACCTAATTGACACATGAGATCTAAGGTCCTACAACTGTATTCATTGGGAAAGAGAAATAAATTTTCCAAACCTTGATGGTTGCCACATCCACCTTCAATATCTACAACATATATCTACAACATACGTGTAGTTAGTCGACACAAGTGCATATAGTCATTAGAAAGAGCTCAGTTTACACTATACTCTACAACAATTAATTTGAAATTGGTGCACAGTTTTTTTATGACACTGTTTGTATTGTTGTCTGCTTGATCGACTGTAGCACGTACGTTGGTTTCTTACCTAAATATGCTCTAGTTAGTGAGAGAGTTAAATTGTATTTAGGTCTTACTTTTATATTTTAGTTAATTATGTGGGTTTTAAAAATCATATTTAAACAGTTTAATGATCTTTTACAAGTTTAACTTGTTGCATAGATTGTGAAAGGTTATAAACCAGGTGCCATGTATAAGCACCATTTTGTTTCAGCAACACGTCCATGTGGGGAGTCTGCTGAAATATCTTCATAAAACTCAGTGGGCATCAGTTAATGTATGGCCATAAAAGATAATAGAAAAATAATTTGAAAGGGAAATTAAAAATAAACTATAAGTGAAAAGATAAAGACGTGAAATTATGCATATAAGAAAAACACAACTATTCTAGTGGATTTCTGGGAAAGGTTGAAAGGTATGTACATATTTCCATTTGTTAATTTTAAAAAGTTCAGTGCACTGTATGTTCATGATAATAGATAGTTAGTGATATAGTAGAGAAAATGGAAAATAAAATATAAATATTTACCTT